ATAACGGAACCAAATTTTGTCCTGATTATGTTGACATAATTGCCTACAGATTTAAACCTCGTTTGGACGAGAACCCAAGTTCTAACCGAGGTTTCTGGGGAGGTTTTTACGAACTTTATGAAACTTGTTAAAATTAAGAGGTTTTTCCTTTGGTTCTAAATAACCCTGGCGAGTCTCTGATAGCCTCCGTGCGTTTCCTGTGAGCTGCCACGGCCTCCTAGATCACGACAAAAAATTCACGGTAGTCTTCTGAACAACCGCAAGAGAGCAACACGACAAAAACCGAAAAAAGTGCGCTTTGTCTCGATTTTCCTTCATGTCTCATATTACCCCGTTCTACGGTAGGCAGAGCGCACGTAGGGTGCGGCGGCCACGGCGGGGGCGTAGGCGGCAACGGGGGCGGTGTAGGCGACGGAGGGCGCGTACGAGTAGGAGTAGGCGGGGGCCGCTGCGTACGCTGCCGGCGCGTACGACAGGATCTGGGGCTGCGGCTTGGCCTGGGCCACGGCGGCCAGCACCACGAGGAGGAAGACGACCTGCAACAGCAGCAAAAGTTAGCAAACACGTGGGGCGGGACTTCCACTGTCCGTCGCACCACAAAACGACAGCGGGACTCACGGAGGAGTTCATGTTGGTGGTGAGACTGAGCTGCTGGACTCAAATGTGACGCTCACCTTCCACAGCCGCTGTTTTACACACAGCCCAGCCGCTTGATGGACCCAGCGGGCCGCGTCGACCAGAGTGGGGGCAGATATGGGGGCGGGGCGGTCGTGGCGTCATCGGTGTCGGAAGGAAGCGATTCAAGCCCCAAATCGAGCGAGACCAAATTTAGGCGATTCCCAAAGAACAGGGGAACATTTCTAGTGCCTGGTAGTTAATTAAAACTTACGGGCTCCGAAATCAACTTTGAAATATTTCTTATTATGTGCATAACTTGTGAATCGGAAGCCGTTTACGATATAGGTGTCCAGAAATGACATAACAACAGGAGCATCTACTAGGTGATGTTGTCACCAGGTGACTCAGCTCTTTAATGATTACCTTTTCTCATGTTGCGTAGCACCCTAGAGGGTAGCATGGCCCACTCTTGCTGCGTCTCAGTTTCATTTTTCACCGTACAGAGGTCGAAGTCTGCCTGGAACTGAGATGACGCGTCTCTCCAAAAATGAAGCATCTTTGCACCAGCGCGGATCGACGCTCGATTCGTTTCCTTTTATACTGCCACAATCTGAATGACGCCCCTGCCTCCCCCTACTAGTGCAGTCATAATTCTAAGCCTTTTGTTCGTTTAACGAAGAAAAAGCTCAGAGAGATATTGGGAGTAAGCGAACCAAGTCAACAGAGAGATTGGGTGATTCAAGGATTTATTTCGCTCGCCTCAAGACTCAGGGTTCATCGCCAAAAGCGGGCTTGGCCGGTGTCACAGCTCAGTAGTACGTGTAGGCAGAGCGCACGTAGGGTGCGGCGGCCACGGCGGGGGCGTAGGCGGCAACGGGGGCGGTGTAGGCGACGGAGGGCGCGTACGAGTAGGAGTAGGCGGGGGCCGCTGCGTACGCTGCCGGCGCGTACGACAGGATCTGGGGCTGCGGCTTGGCCTGGGCCACGGCGGCCAGCACCACGAGGAGGAAGACGACCTGCAACAGCGGCAACAGCAAAAGTTAGCAAACACGTGGGGCGGGACTTCCACTGTCCGTCGCACCACAAAACGACAGAGGGACTCACGGAGGAGTTCATGTTGGTGGTGAGACTGAGCTGCTGGACTCAAATGTGACGCTCACCTTCCACAGCCGCTGTTTTATACACAGCCCAGCCGCTTGATGGACCCAGCGGGCCGCGTCGACCAGAGTGGGGGCAGATATGGGGGCGGGGCGGTCGTGGCGTCATCGGTGTCGGAAGAAAGCGATTCAAGCCCCAAATCGTGCGAGACCAAATTTAGGCAATCCCCGAAGAACAGGGGTATATATCAGGTACCTTTTGGGTGTAATTAAAAACTTACGGGCTCCGAATGCTACTTTTGAATGTTTTTAATTTTCTGCACAACCTGAAAATCGGAAACAGTTTTCGAAATCAATGTTCAGATATCACAAAACAATTTTAAAAGACCTCCCTCTGCACAGGAGCATCTACTTGATGTTTTCTTCGGGAGACTGAGCTCTTAAAGGGGGACCCTGGTGAAACTTCCAAGTACGCTTCAAAATAATCCCAGAAAGTTGAAACTTTGTTAGTGACGGAATTTTCAAATTCAACTTCTGTCCTGAGATATGAGTTTTCAAATTTCAACATTTAAAAAAAAGTGATTTTTTCCCCTTTTTTCAAACTTGAAGGCGTGTTTTAAAAAAAGTAGGTCTGATATCAAGATTCCGTCACTAAAATTTGTCGACAAGTTATCAATGAATAGAGTCCATGCAAGACGACTCATGTAGGTGTCAACCAGGAACGCAGGAAGTCTTTCTACGACAAAAATTTTTGTCGACTGAGCAATGCTGTGAACTTGAGCGTAGAAGCCAACGACAACTGATCTCAATGTTATTTCCTTCCAAATGATAAAGAAACTACCCACCCAGCTCAAAGGTGTTCAACCTGTTGAATTTCAAACCTTCTATGCACATTTTTATCTATGAACTTTGAAAATACTATTTTTTGGAATTTTGACGATTTTTTCACCAGGGTCCCCCCTTAAATGTTTCTCATCCCTCATGTTGCGTAGCGCCTTTAAACGTAGCATAGCCCACTCTTGCGGCCGCCTTCAGTTAGAGATTTTTGGCGTACAAAGGTCGAAGTCCGTCCGGCATTGAGACGACGCACTTCTCTTAAAATAAAGCAACTGTGGGCCAGCGCGGATCGACGCTCGATTAGTTTCCTTTTATACTGCCACAATCTGAATGCCGCCCCTGCCTCCCCCTCGCATCGACTCGCACACTGTGGTCAGCGTGGCGGCTCCACCAGGCATCCAGGCGGCGCGTATAAAACGGCGGCCGTGGAGGCAGAGCGTCACATTTGAGTCCGCAGCAGCTCAAACTCACCACCACCATGAACTCCTCCGTAAGTCGGCCACTGTCGTCTCGTCGTTCCAACCCGACTCCGGCCTCAAGCTGAAACTGACTGGTCCTGTTGCCGCTGTTGCAGGTCGTCTTCCTCCTCGTGGTGCTGGCCGCCGTGGCCCAGGCCAAGCCCCAGTTCCTGTCGTACGCGCCGGCAGCGTACGCAGCGGCCCCCGCCTACTCCTACTCGTACGCGCCCTCCGTCGCCTACACCGCCCCCGTTGCCGCCTACGCCCCCGCCGTGGCCGCCGCACCCTACGTGCGCTCTGCCTACACGTACTACTGAGCGCCGACGACGCTTCTGACCGACTTCAGTGTCTACAGCATGGCCGGCAGCGCAGCCCGCCCGATGAGGCTTGGAAAATAAATTGCTGAGAACCACTGAATCGTCTTTTTTCTTCATTTTCAGAAACGATCGCCTCGCGTCACAAAGCGCTTGAACAACTTAACGTTTCAAGGTCGCGTTGGAGCAAGCCAATACTCCTCTCAGTGACCAAAACACATGAAGCCTTGAACGAACAGGGGCACCCAAGCCTACGGACCATGCGTGACTTTAACTACGCTCTACAAATCAAAGAGTGTACATGGTACGCTCTAACTGGAGCATGCCTCCAAGCACGCTCTAACTAGCGCATGCCTGCTAGGCATGCACTAACTAGTGCATACATGCCATGTACACGCTAACTGAAGCATACATTTACTGCATAAGGGATAGGGAGTTTTCTGCATCAGGAAGCGTGTACTTGGCATGTATGCTCTAGCTAGTGCATGCTTGGCAGGCATGCGCTAGCTAGAGCGTGCTTGCAGGCATGCTCCAGTTAGAGCATACTATGTACACTCTTTGATTTGTAGAGCGCAGCTTTCAAAGAACTGCTTCGTATTACTAAGATATTCTCTTTGATACTGGCAAACGAAACGAATTGTCTGAGATTTAGCAGTGCTCAGCAGACGTTTTCCGGCGACTGTACTTTTGGACCATTAGCCTCTGAGCAGCTGAAAGGTATAAAATGCACCAGGCTACAGAGATCACTGTGGCTCGAAAGAGGGAGATGGCAATCAACCATTGACTGCATTGACCAATAGGTTTTAAATGGAGAAGATATTTAGCTTCAAAAGTCCTCATACAATGGCTTTCTTTACAAAAGTTCGATAACTGCTCAGTTTTCGTTTTAAAAATGGAAACATATGTCGGTATTACTTGATTTGTCTTGTCCCGATATCGACATGTTAGGAAGATATTAGTTCAAACAACTTTATTCAACACATAATTTCATGGGAAAATCTGCTAATGGCAGGCTCTCAGTTTAGCGGAAAATGGAAGCAACTCAACCGAAGTGCTTTGACTTCATTGAAAAAAATCGTGTGTAAAACTTTATTTAACCTGTGTTCTTATAAAATTAGTGTAAAAGGAGTCCGCTCTACCTCTGACCTCTAAAATTTTTAAGTTGTTAAAAATAACCGCTAAACGTATATCAGAGAAACAAACACTTTCACCTGAATGCATTTCCATTCCACTGTCTCAAAATACCACTACGTTTACGAAATATCAGTTGTGAGGCATCTGTTTCCTAATATAACGGAAAGTCATCAGTTGCAGTAATCTTCAACGAAGTCTCTTTACACTAATATGTTTTCCTTTCCTGAAACTTTATCTTATACTGTTTCAATTTCGTCATCGACCAAATTCTTGTGTCAGTCTAAATTTTCTCTGCAATTCATTTTTTGTTTTTTTTCTAATACAAATGCTGAAATGGGCCTTTTTCCTTCTTTTGATTGCTGGACCATTTCGAAAAGGCATTTTTTAGCCACACTGAACCAGGCCGGTATGCGGCAATCGAGCTGCTGTCCTGTACCATGTTGTTTCTGCTTTGGTAACGATAAGGGTTTTTAGAGGGTGGTAAAAGGGGCTCATGTCAAAAGAGAAATATAAGGTGATTCAAGGCTTTATTTCTCTCGATTCATGAGTCAGGTTTGATAACCAAAAGCGGGCTTGGCTGGTGTTACAGCTCAGTAGTACGTGTAGGCAGAGCGCACGTAGGGTGCGGCGGCCACGGCGGGGGCGTAGGCGGCAACGGGGGCGGTGTAGGCGACGGAGGGCGCGTACGAGTAGGAGTAGGCGGGGGCCGCTGCGTACGCTGCCGGCGCGTACGACAGGATCTGGGGCTGCGGCTTGGCCTGGGCCACGGCGGCCAGCACCACGAGGAGGAAGACGACCTGCAACAGCGGCAACAGCAAAAGTTAGCAAACACGTGGGGCGGGACTTCCACTGTCCGTCGCACCACAAAACGACAGCCGGACTCACGGAGGAGTTCATGTTGGTGGTGAGACTGAGCTGCTGGACTCAAATGTGACGCTCACTTTCCACAGCCGCTGTTTTATACACAGCCCGGCCGCTTGATGGACCCAGCGGGCCGCGTCGACCAGAGTGGGGGCAGATATGGGGGCGGGGCGGTCGTGGCGTCATCGGTGTCGGAAGGAAGCGATTCAAGCCCCAAATCAAGCGAGACCAAATTTAGGAAATCCTCAAAGAACAGGGGAACGTTTCGGGTACCTTTTGGTTGTTAACAAAAACTTACGGGCTTCGAAGGCAACTTTTGAAAATTTTTCATTATCTGCACATTATCTGCACGGTCACCGTTTTCGAAATCCATTTTCAGAAATCAGAAAAATGTAAGGGAGCTCCCTCTGCACAGGAGCATCTTCTTGATAATTTTGTCATCGGCAGACTGAGCTATTTAATGTTCCTCATGTTGCGTAGCGCCCTAAAAGGGAGCCCACTCTTGCGGCCGCCTTCAGTCCAAGATTTTTGCCGTACAGGAGTCAAAGTCTGTCCGGAACAGAGGTGACGCGTTTCTCTTAAAATAAAGCATCTTTGGACCAGCGCGGATCGACGCTCGATTAGTTTCCTTTTATACTGCCACAATCTGAATGACGCCCCTGCCTCCCCCTCGCATCGACTCGCACACTGTGGTCAGCGTGGCGGCTCCACCAGGCATCCAGGCGGCGCGTATAAAACGGCGGCCGTGGAGGCAGAGCGTCACATTTGAGTCCGCAGCAGCTCAAACTCACCACCACCATGAACTCCTCCGTAAGTCGGCCACTGTCGTCTCGTCGTTCCAACCCGACTCCGGCCTCAAGCTGAAACTGACTGGTCCTGTTGCCGCTGTTGCAGGTCGTCTTCCTCCTCGTGGTGCTGGCCGCCGTGGCCCAGGCCAAGCCCCAGTTCCTGTCGTACGCGCCGGCAGCGTACGCAGCGGCCCCCGCCTACTCCTACTCGTACGCGCCCTCCGTCGCCTACACCGCCCCCGTTGCCGCCTACGCCCCCGCCGTGGCCGCCGCACCCTACGTGCGCTCTGCCTACACGTACTACTGAGCGCCGACGACGCTTCTGACCGACTTCAGAGTCTTCAGCATGGCCGGCAGCGCAGCCCGCCCGATGAGGCTTGGAAAATAAATTGCTGAGAACCACCGAATCGTCTTTTTTCTTCATTTTCAGAAACGATCGCCTCGCGACACATTAGCGCTTGAACAACTTAAACGTCTCAAGGTCGTGTTGGAGCGAGCCATACTCCTCTCAGTGACCAAAACACATGCAGCCTTGGACGAACAGGGGCACCCAAGCCTACGGACCATGCGTGATTTTAACTACGCAGCTTTCAAAGAACTGCTTCGTATTACTAAGATATTCTCTTTGATACTGGCAAACGAAACGAATTGTCTGAGATTTGGCAGTGCTCAGCAGACGTTTTCCGGCGACTGTACTTTTGGACCATTAGCCTCTGAGCAGCTGAAAGGTATAAAATGCACCAGGCTACAGAGATCACTGTGGCTTTCGTGGTCGAAAGAGGGAGATGGCAATCAACCATTGACTGCATTGACTAAAAGGTTTCAAATGAAAAAGTTACTTAGCTTCAAAAGTCCTCATACAATGGCTTTTTTTTTTTTACAAAAGTTCGATGACTGCTCAATTTTTGTTTAAAAAATAGTAACATATGTCGGTATTACTTGATTTGTCTTGTCCCGATATCAACATATTAGATAGATATTAACTCAAACAACTTCATTCAACAAATAATTTCATGGAGAACTCTGATAATGGCAGGCTCTTGGTTTAGCGGTAAATGTAAGCAACTCAACCGAAGTGCTTTGACTACATTGACAAAAAACGTTTGTAAAACTTAATTTAACTTGTGTTCTTATAAAATTAGTATAAAAGGAGTCCGTTCAACCTCTGACCTCTTAAATTTTTAAGTTGTTGAAAAACACCAACTTAACGTATGTCAGAGAAACAAACTTTTTCACCTGAGTGCATTTCCATTCGACTGCCTCAAAATACCACTAAGTTTACGAAATATCAGTTTTGAGGCGTCTGTTTCCTAATATAACGGAAAGTTGATCCAGGAAGCGGAAGAAGGGGATAACTCAATTTTGGACATTTTCCAGGAGAAACCAAAAACTGTTAGCAGGGTAAACTAAAACAAAAAAAAATGAATGTTGCAGATGTTAATAGTTCCAAAAAGCATTAGTAAAATTTTGGAAAAAAATCAAAAGTGTAAGGTCACTCGGTAGAGGATTTCTGCGACTTATCACTTTGCGTTGAAATGGAAAACAGAGTCAGCTCACCTTATATTTCCTAAACCAAGAGGAATTTGGAGACAAGTCAAGTGGAACAATAGTCTGCATAAAGTGTTTGTTACCCTGGTGCATTTTTTGGACTTAGCTCTTTTTTCCAATTTGAAATTTAAAATTGAGGAGGGGTTAAGTTGAGTTGATTCTTTATACACTAGATTCATAAAAATACAAGTTGAGTTATATCCTTTTGCCAATTTGTCAAACGGACTCATGTGGACTTCGGTTGAGTTATCTCCATTTTCCAATGAAATTTAGACCGTAAAAGGGGTTAAGTTGAGTTATACCCTTTTTCCATGTGGATTTTCGCCTAAACTGCTTGGAATTCAGTCAAATAATTTGGTGTAACGATGTAAACCATTCTAAGGCACACTAATAAAATAAAAAATCAATTTGGGGATAAGTCAAGTTATTCCCTTCTTCCGCTTCCTGGATCAGTTATGAGTTGCAGTATTCTTCAACGAAGTCTCTTTTCACTGATCATGTTTTCCTTTCCTTAAACTTTATCTTATACTGTTTCAATTTCGTCATCGACCAAATTCTTGTGTCAGTCTAAATTTTCTCTGAAATCCGTTTTTTGTTTTTTCTTATAACAATGATGAAATGGACGTTTTCCCTTCTTTTGATTGCTTGACCATTTCGCCAAGGTACTTTTTAGCCACAGTGAACCAGGCCGGTATGCGGCAATCGAGCTGCTGTCCTGCAGCATGTTGTTTCTGCTTTGGCAACGATTGGTGTTTTTAAAGGGTGTCAAAGGGGCTTAAGTCAAAAGAGGAATATGAGTGATTCAAGGATTTATTTCCCTCGATTCATGAGTCAGGGTTGATCACCAAAAGCGGACTTGGCCGGTGTCACAGCTCAGTAGTACGTGTAGGCAGAGCGCACGTAGGGTGCGGCGGCCACGGCGGGGGCGTAGGCGGCAACGGGGGCGGTGTAGGCGACGGAGGGCGCGTACGAGTAGGAGTAGGCGGGGGCCGCTGCGTACGCTGCCGGCGCGTACGACAGGATCTGGGGCTGCGGCTTGGCCTGGGCCACGGCGGCCAGCACCACGAGGAGGAAGACGACCTGCAACAGCGGCAACAGCAAAAGTTAGCAAACACGTGGGGCGGGTCTTCCACTGTCCGTCGCACCACAAAACGACAGCGGGACTCACGGAGGAGTTCATGTTGGTGGTGAGACTGAGCTGCTGGACTCAAATGTGACGCTCAACTTCCACAGCCGCTGTTTTATACACAGCCCGGCCGCTTGATGGACCCAGCGGGCCGCGTCGACCAGAGTGGGGGCAGATATGGGGGCGGGGCGGTCGTGGCGTCATCGGTGTCGGAAGGAAGCGATTCAAGCCCCAAATCAAGCGAGACCAAATTTAGGCAATCCCCAAAGAACGGGGGAAATTTTTTCGGGTACCTTTAGGGAGTTTAAAATTTTACGGGCTCCGAAGCAACTTTTGAATTTTTAAATTTTCTGCACAACCGGGAAAGTCGGAAACCGTTTTCGAAATGAATGTTCAGATATCAAAAAACAATTTTAAAATACCTCCCTCTGCACAGGAGCATCTACTTGATAAAGTTGTCATCGGGAGACTGAGCTCTTCAATGTTTCTCATCCCTCATGTTGCGTACGCTGTTAAAAAATGGTTGTATAGAAACAATCAGATGAGTGAAAATTTAGTCGTTCCAAAACAAAGAATTTAATCATGAACCAAAGCGAAAGAAATGTCGTTGAATCTTGTAAGCGACAGTTTGTCGTTGAAGAACAATTCTTGTTACCTCCCTTAACGATACTATTTGTTAGAAACAAAAATTTTTGCAATTATCTGCTCAATTAAAGCATTTTTTGAATAATCATCTTTTTGGACTTCTTTAGTCATAGCAACATTACTATTTTTAAAAAAGAATTAGGCAAAAAATTTAGCGACAAAAGTACCCATGAATCTTGTCCCAGACATTACAAATCTTTTGCTTACAAGACTTGTCGTTGACCAACCATTTGTTGTTGGTCAACGACTTGTTTTGAAAGTAACTGCTAATGTGTTCTTACAAGTTAGTCCTTGGAAATTATCCTTTAGTTCCAATACGAGTTTGGTTTAACAAGCTATTCGTTGACAGCAAAATTTTTCGCTAAAAAAAAATTTGCGATAAATGTTTAGCTAAGTTACGATAAAATTTTTTTCATGTAGCGCCTTTAAAGGAAGCATAGCCCACTCTTGCGGCTGCCCCTTAGAGATTTTTGGCGCACAGGGGTCGAAGTCAGATCAGCACTGCGGAGACGCCCTTTCTCTTAAAAAAAAGCAACGTGGGCCAGCGCGGATCGACGCTCGATTAGTTTCCGTTTATACTGCCACAATCTGAATGACGCCCCTGCCTCCGCCTCGCATCGACTCGCACACTGTGGTCAGCGTGGCGGCTCCACCAGGCATCCAGGCGGCGCGTATAAAACGGCGGCCGTGGAGGCAGAGCGTCACATTTGAGTCCGCAGCAGCTCAAACTCACCTCCACCATGAACTCCTCCGTAAGTCGGCCACTGTCGTCTCGTCGTTCCAGCCTGACTGCTGCCTCAAGCTGAAACTGACTGGTCCTGTTGCCGCTGTTGCAGGTCGTCTTCCTCCTCGTGGTGCTGGCCGCCGTGGCCCAGGCCAAGCCCCATTCCCGTCGTACGCGCCGGCAGCGTACGCAGCGGCCCCCGCCTACTCCTACTCGTACGCGCCCTCCGTCGCCTACACCGCCCCCGTTGCCGCCTACGCCCCCGCCGTGGCCGCCGCACCCTACGTGCGCTCTGCCTACACGTACTACTGAGCTGTTACACCGGCCAAGCCCGCTTTTAGCGATAAACCCTGTGTCTTGAGGAGGACAATAAATCCTTGAATCACCCAATCTCTGTCTCTCTTGGCTTTTGTGCCCTTTGACCGCCCTGATTACCACCAACCGCTCATGAAAGCAGAAACAAAATAGTGCAAGACAGTTACTTGATTGTCGCACTTTGGCCTGAATTACTGCACGGTGAAAACGGTTTCTGGGTTTGCCGGGAAGCCAATGGTTAAGGCGAAATCGACTTCTAGGGAGTTCCTGGGAAAACCCGGGACAGTTTTTACCGTGTCAGGCTGTTACATACTTCGGAGAAATGATCCAGGAACCGCAAGAAGCAAAGAAATCCATTTTGGAAATTTTTCTTCAAAAACAATGAACTATTTGCAGGGACAGCTAGAACCTTATAAATAACTTCTGTATAGGTACTCTGCAAACTCAACAGTTTCAGTAGTACAGCCTCTTCTGCGTGTACTGACAAGTACACTCTATTGAGCACTGTACTCTACAAACTGAAGTTGTACTCAGTAGCATCTGAGACGCATATTGGGCTATTATGGTACACATCTACAGATGCATCTAGCATACCAGTTAGTATGCATTTGCTAGAACTCAGCAAGTATGCATCTGTAGATTTCTCAGTGTATGCATCTGTGATGTGCTATTAAGTAGCTTGTAAGGTATGCGTCTACAGATGCGTACTGAGTACAACTTCAGTTTGTAGAGTACAAGTCTGTGCTTTCACAACGAGTAGGCGGATTGTCATTTTTAGTTTGAGAGCCTAGACAGCTCAAGTTTTAAATCAAGTTTCTAGACATCCTGCTATCATGTGAGAGTAGAAATGGTTCCAAAATGATTCTGGAAATATATGGAGTTATGACATAATTTCTCCGAAGTATGTAGCCTGACACGGTAAAAACTGTCCCGGGTTTTCCCAGGAACTCCTAGAAGCGATTTCGCCTTAACCATTGCTTCCCGGCAAACCCAGAAACCGTTTTCACCGTGCAGTAATTCAGGCCAAGTGCGACCAGTACTGTTTTACTAGGATACGGGGGGTGGAATCACTGGGCCCAAAAAAGAGAGAAAATTTGTTAATTTTTTTTGCCAGGGTTTTCCGAGCCCTTTTCCGTATTCCCCCGTTAGGCCGTACAGACCCGTACGCCGCCACCCGTAGGCCGGAACCTGTAGGCC